GCTTTTCAAAGAACAAGAGCAGGTCTAGACCACGCTCATTGTTTGATGATCAAGAACCAACCCAAGATGGGTTTTGGCCCATCTCAACTAACATGAGTAGCAGTGGCAAGGAAAAACTTCCTTTTAACAGGCAGAAACCTTGGGCAGGACCAGACTCATGCCAGATAGCCACCATGCCGCTGCTGGGTTGGGGAGGAATGTAGAGAGATAGAGGGAGTGAGAGGAGAGAGACAGAGAGAAGAGGGGAGCAGTCAGCAGGCCTAATCGTAGTCCGCTCTATTGGCTAACCCTGCATCATTGGCTAACCCTGCCTCCTGAGTCGTTCTTTTTCAACAAATAATCAATGTCCTTGACAAGAACAATCTTATACTTGTTTACCAAGAACTTTCTTACTTTCTCCCTTCACTCATCCTCTGATAGAGCTTTCTCCACTCAATAACAGTCGCTTGTATATTGGCCTTGTTGTCCACCATGCTTCTGAAAATGCCTGGAAGTTTGGATTGAAGTTCCTTTCTCCATTGCTTCCACTCCATGTCTGCAACTGACTAAAGACTGGTTGTGCATATGGACCAATAGGTGCTACCGGCATCAGCTGGGGTGTTTGGCACTGAATCTGTTCTTGCTGTTGGTGCACGGCTGCTTAATCTGGTTGAAATTGTCTGTGCATAACCAAAGCTTTCTTCTCCTTCTTTTTGCTATCTCTCAACTGTATTTGGTTAAGTTGTCTCAGAGTCTCTTGATCTTGCTCTCTTTGCTCATTCTCTTTCTTCCTGTATAGATCCACTTGATGTGCTATATGGTCTGTGTATACCCCTTTTGTCATACTACCAAGACCAACCACCTCTGCTAATTTACTTCTCACTGGCTGGGGCAACCCTTTTTGTATTTTGGCTCGCAAAATAGACTGCTCCATTTGGTGCATGTCTGGATCATTTCCTGTAACATTTCTCCAAATTTGATGAGCCTTTGATACATAAGCTCTTGGATTCTCCTGTGGTCCTTGTGGTTCAATGATAATGTTATCAGGATGTGCATTTGTTGGAAGTGCATCTCTCAGTGATCTCCACATCCAAGCTCTACTAGCAGCATACAGTTCTGGATCATTCATAGCCCTGCGTACCGGTTAAGTCCTGCTCTCTGCAAGATCTCTTCTATAGCTGGGACCCCTAAAATGCTGGCTAAGAGTCTCTTGATTTCCCCAATGGCAGGCCGCCATCCCACCATAATTTCTTCCAACTTTGAAATCCAAGGATCCCTCCTGAAGAGTTGGTAACTTTTCAAGGATGTCTTACATGTCTTTATTTTGCAGAGGCTTATACTCCAAATTCTGTCCTCGAACAACAACTGGACACATTTTTTCAGCTGGTTTATCCCCTTTTCTTGGGTGTAAGGAATACCCTGAAGTAGATGGCTTTTCTACTCTTTTTTTCTTCGTCTTTCTTTGCTATTTGTAGCTTTTCTAATTCTTCCCTCAAATCTCTTTGTTTTTCAGGACTGGTAGCACCCCTCAGGTCAACACAGCATTTATCTATGCGTTTCTCAATCCTTTTCAAAGCTCTGTGCTTTTCCTCAGCTTCAGTCCTTGGTGTTGACCAAAGAGAATATGAAGACTCTTCACTCTCTGATTCTTCATCCCTATCATCATCCTCACTCTTTTCCGAGGTGTCTTTCACTGGCTCTTTTTTCCTCAGTGATTTTTCTCCTCCTCTGTCTCATATGGTGGGAGCTCTTCACTGGGGTTGTATGTGAGAAAGGTTCATTCACTTTTGCCATCAATTTTTCTGTTTCTCTAACATTTTTATTTCTTCCACAATCCTGTCCTTTCTTTCCTTATCTGCTTTTAGCATCTTCTGCCCTACTTGCTCAAACAATTGCAACATGCCAAGCTCCATCTGTCTTTTTTCTTTACGTTTCTTTCCCTTCTTTCCTTTCTTTTGCTCTGCCTTATAGGTGGACACCAGCACTTGCATTGTTTTAACTACTTCTGGATTAAGGGTACCTTCCACTGCCCAAGGCTGGTCAATATCCGGCCACCTCTTACTCCATTTCTTTGATATCTTTTTGATATCCTTAACCAGTGGATTGCTCTTCATCACTACATCAACTGGGGTGATAGCTTTCAAACTTTTAACATCCATCTTCTGCATTGTGATACTGCCTTTGAACTTCATAGAAAGCAAAAACACCAACTGATGACCAAACAGGTTATTCAAACCGCAGTATAGCTATTTTCACCTTAAGACAAGAAAAGCCTAAGAAATCTGCCAGCCCCAGAGACTTAAAACTTCTCAACACCCAAAAAAGATCAATTCCTGTGATTTTACCAAGCAGCAATGACAACCCACATCCACACGCTTCAGCAAAATTTAGATCCCTTAGAAATGTTCTATTAATTCGTTAATACTTCAGTACTTAATCAGCTATTTCAAATAGTCAGTTTATTGCCAAGCTTTCCTTCTTCCTATCACCAACATAGTGCATTAGATACCCCCAAACAACTGCTATTATTGTTTAGAAACTAAATGTGTTTCCACTATACATGTGTGTATGTACAACTAAGTAGCAGCAGACACATAGGAGAAGAGCTTGTAGATAAATCGTACTAGCCTATCAAATGGAAACAGGACCTGGGGCCTCATGTATCAACACTTGCGTGGGACTCATACTGGAAACGAGCGCATGCAAGGTCCGTCACGCTGAAAAAAATTTGTATGTATCAAGGTGTGTGGGCGCCGAAAGCCACGAATGTTTCCTTGATAAATCCCAACCAGCTTGAAATTGAGCGCAGATGTTGGAGTGACCAGGCCCGCCCCCATTACACCCACCTATAAATATGCAGGTTTATTTAAATAGGGTCTCCCTGTCCTCGCACACAGACAAAATGACAAGAAAAACGAAATTTACGGCGTGCGAGGTGGAGGTGCTGGTGGCGGAGGTGGAGGAGCGACAGCGTGTTTTGTTTTGCAGCCTGTCCAGTGGCGTCAGTGCAAAACGAAAACGCTTGGAGTGGGAGAAAGTTTGCGAGAGGGTGAACGCGGTGGGTTCCGAGACACGCACCCCCGCGGAGATTAAATAATAGTGGTCGGACCTCAAGGTGGAGGTCAAGCGGCGTACAGCTGCCCTCCGGAGGAGTACCGGCCAGGCAGGTGGGGGTCCGGGGGAGGAGACCCTCACGCCGTTTGAGCAGCGGGTGGTGGCGATTATGGGGGGCGCCTCTGTGGGGGGGATTGTCGCCGCTACCCGCGACGACTCAGACAGCCTGCCGGAGGGTAAGTGGCATGTCACACAAATGTCCACATGCTTTGCCATAGATGTAAACGCAACAGATACACAGAAGCAGGAATTGAAGTGAACCAATATTTTTATTGTGTCACAGAAATCAATGTGTCGGCCGTGTCGCCGGCTTGCGGAACCCCGGCCCGCGGCAGCCCGTCCGCCGGCTCGGAGTCGTCGGCCAGGACCAGCGGCATTCGGGCCACCCCGGCCCCCGGCCCCAGCACCAGCACCAGCGCACCAACAAGCAGTGGAGCGTCCACCAGCCGCGGCGCTTCCGTTGGACCACCCAGACGCAGTGGAAGGGTCCTCACGGAGGCGGTCCTGCAATCGCAGGAAGAAATCACCAGGGGGATCGCGGGGATCAATGAGCGGCTGGACCGGCTCGTAAATGTCCTCGAGCGTTTGGTGGAGAAAATAAATTAATTTGGCTCATTGAACTGTGTATTCACTTCTTACCCATTCACATTGTGGCGATGAGATTCTCCCGCGCAAGAACGGGGACCCGGCAGGGATCAGCTCGCATCCCTCCGTCTACCTCTGGTTCATCATGTGGGGCGACGTGCTGCTCGGCCACGGGGATGTGGTGCAGGTCCACTGCGATGTGTGAAAGCTTGTCACATAGTGAGTCACCAAACACCACCACACAGCGTTGCCAAAGTGCCGTCAATGTAGTGCTGGACGATAATTCGATAACAATATATATCGATCGATAGACGTGTGGTGCGATAGAAAAAAAACGGGTCGATAAAAAGTTCCATAGAAAAACACAGTTTCCCTTTCTTTTTCATCATAGCCTATCATGTAGCTTTTACTACAGTCATTACTTCCTCCCAACCAATCACAAACGCAGACCCAGGTACGCTACGGCACCAAGCCCAGCCCCTCTCAAACCACAACAGACAGCACGTGTATTAGAAAAAATGTTACAGCAAGGAGAAGCGGAGGAAATTATCTCGAAAAAAGGGTTTCAGTAGTTCACCAGCATGGCAATATTTTGGTTTTTACAAGTCTGACAAAAAGCAAACAGCGGTCGTTTGCAAAATTTGCAGAGATCTTGGCGAACTCAAGGTTTTCTGGCACCACCAGCGTTGATACATGAGGCCCCAGGTGAGCCTCTCATCCGCAAGCCCCCTCTTGCTTGCAGCAAGTACTGGCACTGGTACAACGCAGGATGTTTTACACAGAGTAGGTACCTGCCCCAGATGTAGACTCAGGTTGAAGATCCTGTGGAGAGGTTGATACAGTTTTGCAGCATAGTCTCTAAGCAGCCTTGGACAGACACCATCTGGACCAGCTGCCTTCCCAGGACAAAGTCTTCCAAGCTCCATCCTCACCCCTGTTTCAGTGACAGACAAGGACTGGTGTTCTAGGAGGGAGGCAGTTGAAGTGGTTGACACATTTGAATGAGATGGGGGAGGAATGGGAGAAGTTGCAGTGGAGATTTGTTGCGGAGAGGAAGGTGGAGTAGCAGTGGAAGTGGGTGTGACAGCAGTGTCAAATCTGTTGAAGAACAGGTTGAGTTCATCAGCTCTTTCCAGATCACCCACCACTGGCTGTCTTTTCTTTTTATTGCTGTGTCCAGAGATGGTACTGATTCCTCTCCACACTCCACAGTGTGTAGATTCTACTCTATCTTCTTTTTGTACTCCAGCTTTGCCATCTTCAGTCTCCTGTTCAACTCTTGTTGCACTTGTTTGAGTTGTTCTTTGTCACCATCTTTAAAAGCTTTCGTCTTCTGGTTAAAGATTGCTTTTATGTCACTTGTGATCCAGGGTTTGTTGTTGGGGAAACAGCGAACAGTCTTTGTGGGTATAACTGTGTCTCTACCGAAGTTGATGTATTTAGTAAAGCAGTCAACCTGTTTATCAATGTTCATACTATCCACATCTGTTTCCAGCAGCACTTTTCAGTCTGTTTAAATCAACAGTCCCTTAAAACAGTCCCTTAGAGCTTCACTGGCTTGAGGTGTCCATCTTCTGATTTTGACTTTGGTCACAGGCTGCCTCAGTACACAAGGTCTGTAACAGGTTTGCAGATAGACCAAGTTATGATCTGACTTTCCCAGTGGTGGTGAGGCAGTGGCTCTGTAGGCTTCTTTGACGTTGGCATACAGCAGATCCAGGGTCTTGTTTTCTCTGGTAGGACAGTTCACAAACTGTGTGAATCCAGTTAGGTGAGAGGAGAGGGTGACGTGGTTGAATTCTCCTGATATTATTATTAGTGCCTCCAGGTGCTGAGTCTGTAGCCTGGCAACACTATTTTGCAAAACATTGCATGGAATTTCTTCAGTTGATTTGGGTGGGATCTTAACAATTACTGTTCAGTCAGGATCACTTTAGTCAAAATTAATTATCTATTACAACGGAGTCAGAGTTAGTTCAAGAAATAAAAAAAATACGAGTAGATGGGTTTTCAAGCAGGCTGATTTTGTCTTCCCAGAACAGCGTACAGCCTCATACCGCTGTGTACTGCTGTGTACTGCTGTGTACCGCTGCATACCAGGTTACTGGCTTACTTTTACCCCTGGGTGTGAGAGAAAGACCTGCAGATTGAGCAGGAAAAAGCTTGATGCCCAGTGAAATGTCTACTGATTAGAGCCAGGTCGACTACAAACTAATTAAGTCTCTGGTTGAATCTTTGCTTGCTGAAAATTATTTGTGATATTACTAGAATAATATTCTTCCATAAGTCATGGCTGAATCAGAAATGATGGCGGGATATGTGTCCAGTTCAGTTCTGGGTGCTGAAAACACTTCACATATGACATCTCCAAATACGCCAAAAGCTACATAAACTCAGCTAAGGTCAGAGATTTAAACAGCCGGGGATCACTATCTCTAAGCATCACAGACTCGTCTCCGCAATCCACAATGCATCTATCGTTGTAGTCAGAGCACGGCAAGATTTTTACAAGACTGATGTCAGTACCAATAAGGATTAGGCTCTGCATATTAGGTGTAATTGCAGCTGCGGGAGGGAAGAATGGGACAACGGTGGAGACAGGGACTGCACTTCCCAGGGTCCTTCGCAGGATTGTGATGCTATTGTCGGTTGTCGCTGGAGTGACGTCATTGTTCAGCGCGGTGAATGCAGGTGTGACAGCTGGGATGAAGGAAGACAGCCGAGCACGTGCCGCACCGCATTTTGAGGCTTCAATCCTTGAAGACATATGGGTGAGCAATGACTGGATGCTGAATAGTGCTTTCAGGATGTGATTGTCGTCCACGTCCGCGGCTCTGGTGGCTGGGGTTGGGCCCTGCGATCTGCGGGCGGCAGCAGTGACACGGCGGCTGAAGCTGGAACTGCCGTGATGCTGCAAGAGCAGTGCTTCTTTTCTCGATGGCTTTTCTAGAGACAGATGAGGAAGCGAGAACTGCCAGTGGAAGCTCTATGTGGATATTTTCCATAAACAAGGTGAAAATCTCTTGATGTGAGGCACCATCTGGAGCTGTGATGTTATTTTTAAAGGACTTCCAGGGGCCTGGACTCTGGCCGTTAATTGAAGCTGGGAGAGATAGACGTTTTACTTGCCAGAGGAGAGCTCCTGTGGAAGGGAATGCAGCTTGCAGAGCAGATGGAGCCATGCAGAGTGGTTGCAGCAGGCAGAGTAGGCAGGAGAAGCAGTTTAAATAGGGCGCCATTTTGACATTAGCCAATAGGACATGTAGAGGGCAATCACCTGAGCTGTCACCTGACTGAGGGCTGGCTTAAGATCAGCTGACTGACCTTTAGATTTACTATGTGACCTGCCTGAACTACCACTATGCTTCATTTATGATATGACTAAATTCTCTTGGAACATAATATGGCCAAAGAGCAACTGCCAACAGTTCAATATCTGGACAACACAACTTCTCCTTGACAGTTATGTGTGAAGGGGTTACACCATCTCTGGTTGACAAATAAAGCCAGACCTCCTCCTTTCTTCTTGCCACTAGCTTGAGCATCTCTGTCTGACCTTATGAGAGTGAAGCCAGTTAGATCCACACTGGAGTTCGAGTTGTTTTGTTTCAATCAGGTTTCAGTAAAGTACAGGAAACTGCACTCACGGTGTGCTTTCTCAGTCTTCACCAAGATCTCCAGCTCATCACTTTTGTTGGGCAGAGAGTTGATGTTTCCCATGATAATTGATGGATGACAGGGTTTATATCACCACCTCGTAGCATTCAGCTTTGCCTTCACCTTTGCACCAGCACGGCAACCACGATAACACCTCCTGATGTCCTCTGGAATTGTATGTTGTTGTCCAGATTTGCTTTTCCTCAATGAAAGGAGCTCTTCTCTTGAGCAAACTCTTCACCCAGCAGAAGTATCCATCAGCAGCCAACAAAATTACAACAAAAATATGAAAAAAAAAAAAAAAATCTAGCAAAAATTACAGATGATACGGAGAGACCAGACTTGCAGCAACCTCTAGGTTCAAGTGCAGAGAGAGAGAGAGAGAGAGAGAGAGAGTGTGTGTGTGTGTCTGTGTTTCTGCAGACCTGCTCCAGCATGGTCTCAGGTGAGGAAGATGTCATTCCTAACTCTCTTGTCATCGTAGCTGTACCTCACCAGCAAAGAATTCACTACTAATGTATCGGACGCACACAAACACACACACACACACACACACACACACACACAGTTCTCTATCCTCCAATGAAAAATAAAATAGCCACTAAAATAAATTCCTCAGAGTATTTTCATATAACAACAGCTTAGTTAACCAATAACCTTTGAGCAACAGTCTTTTAAAGGAACCAAAAAAGGTTCATTTAGTATCAAATAAGGTTCCTCCAAGAACTAGTTTATGGGGAGATGAGGGGATCAGAGAGAGGGTGAAAAGATGGCGGAATGACAGGGTGAGGGGAAAAGGTGGAGTCAAACAGTAAGCATTGCAAAAGTTATGGTAATATTCCCAAACCAAGTGTGGTGATTTTACAGAACAATCTACATTTACACAAAACTCCTGGATGTACAGCTGAACTTTTAAGTCTGACTTTACCTGGTAATCTTCCTGCTAGCCTCTGGCTGAAATTTGGGGGTAAGATTGAAACTGAGGTCGAAGACTGCTGTAGGGAATATTTGGAAAATTCATGAAGAACATGAGGTAGTAATGATGCAACCAGAGCAATCTGGATGAGAGACGTGTAAAGGGTGAAAAAAAAAAAACAGGAGATGAGGAAGAGAGAGGAAATTATTTTCAAGAAAAGATATCTGTTTGTTCACACACAGCATTAAAATATGAGTTTAAACAGCCTGTGTCAGACCCCTTCTGAAGAGAGACAACTTGGAAACAGCGGTACCTAATAATTACAGACCTGTGTCCAACCTGCCATTTTTAAGCAAAATTATAGAAAAGGTGCGCAGACTTGAATGCACATAACACTTTGTGGGGTGGGAAATACACAGATGCAGATGGTAGGGTAGTTGAGGAGCTAATGGAGGAGAGGGAATTAGTATGTATAAATGATGGGAGGGGGACTAGAATAGATGTCAGAACAGGAAATGAGTCAGCTATAGATATTACATTGGTATCAGCAAGTTTGGCAGGAGTCAGTAAATGTGTTGTCAGGTAAGTCGCTAGGTAGTGATCATTATTTAATCATGTGTACAGTAGGGGAAAGAGTGGAGGTGGGGGCGGGTATGGGGCTCCTGAAGTGGCTGTACAGTAAAGCAGAGTGGAATAAATTTAGGGAGGTGAGTGAGGGTCTACTGGAGGTAGTTGATATGAACAAGGATGTGGAAGTAGTTAACAATAGTGTTACAACAGCAATAATCACAGCAGCAACCCAAGCTATTCCGAGGAGCAGAAATGGAAGGACCAGGAAGTTAGTTCCATGGTGGTCAGAGGAGTGTAGCAAGGCAGTGAAGGCCCGAAATCAAGCATTCAGAAAGATTAAGCAGAATGAGGAGAGTAGTTAGACGCACAAAGAGGGAGAGTTGGAGGCAGTTTTGTAATGGTATAGGGAGAACAACACCGGTAGGAGAAGTATGGGGTATGATAAGGAAGATGGGAGGGGACAGGAGGCAGTGGGAATACCCTGTGATTACAGAGGAAGGACAGCAGTAAATGATAAGGAAAAGGCTGAGATGATAGCCAGGGCATTTGCAAAGGTGCATAGTGTAGACAATCTGACAATGGAGGGGAAAAGGAGAAGAGAGATGACTCAGAGTAGATATCCAGGTGCTCTAGACAGGAGGAAGGATACAGGGGGGGAGATAGACACCAGGGGTCCGTTTCACGTAGGTGGTTCAACAAACTCTGAGTTAAATCCTTAACTCTGAGTTAGGAAACTCTGAGTTTCCGGTTTCACAACACCTGATTTGAGACGGTTTTAACAACTCCGAGTAGTTTGACCTGGAGTTAAGCACGTGCACGCCAGACATAAACAGCCAGCATCTGTGGAGCGCAGATTCAATGATCAACCAATGGAAACAGGGAGAAGGAGGGGGCAGCAGCAAGCCAACAGCGAATTACAGCACGTTTGTAAAAGAAAGTGCAATACAGCAGCAGCTGCAAAGGAGAGGGAGAGGGCTTGGGAGGAAATCGCTGCTCGCGTCAATGCGTAACTTTAAATCTAGTCTCGTGCAATCACAATGACAGACTGTTGCAGGGAAACTGCTTGAATCATTTTGATCATGTTTTACATTGTCAAGTAAGTATTAAGTGGCAGTTTGATCCCTTACAAAATGCTCTTTTCACACTCAAAAATGAATTTTACTCTCTTATGATGTTCCGTTAAATGATTAGGAATATTAAACTAACTCTCAGTATGTATATGTACATATATTAAACTGACACACACTACACTCAATATTAGACTTTCACTCAGCAAACAAAAAGAGGGCGGATGCCAGAAAAACGGGTGGTGGCCCAGCAGCCCCACCTTTAACGGAGGCAGGGTAGCTGCCCCCCTCGACGATCGCAACCCCCACCCCGTAGCAGCGATCGTCGGACTGGTGTGTGTGTGTGTGTGTGTGTGTGTGTGTGTGTGTGTGTGGGGGGGGGGGGGGGCCACCACCCGTTTTGTGTTAGTTTAATATTCCTAATCATTTAACGGAACATAATAAGAGAGTAAAATTCAGTTTTGAGTGTGAAAAGAGTATTTTTTAAGGGATCAAACTTACTTGACAATGTAAAACATGATCAATATGAGAAAATGCCGATGTCTCACCTGAAACTCTGGGTTTACTGAGTTAAACCTGCTCCCGAGCAGGTTAGGTTCACGGAGTCTGTTACTGTGGTAACTGACCATGAGGTTGAGTTACCTCTCTTTGTGAAACAGGTTAGAGTTACCCCTCTCTCCCTGGTTTAACTAACCCTCCTTTGTGAAACAGAAAACTCAGAGTTTCCCTGATTTCAGGGTTAACAAACTCAGAGTTTCCATTAAACCTGCTACGTGAAACGGACCCCAGATTTACTATGGCAGAGCTTGTGAGAGCGGTTAGGAAGGCAAAGCCTACAGCTCCAGGGGGAGATCAGGTAAGCTATATAATGCTGAAAATTTGGGGGAGAAGGGGATGATCAGATTGTTAGAATTGTATAATAAGGTATGGGAGGAGGGAAGGCTACCAAGTGTATGGAAGGAAGCAGAGGTCGTACCGATTAGGAAGCCAGGTAAGGACCCATGCTCTCCTTCTAGCTACAGGCCAATAGCTTTGACCTCGAACATATGTAAAATTATGGAGAGAATGGTGACAGAGAGGTTGACATATGTGCTTGAAAAGAGAGGTATGCTGGCGAGATGCCAGAGCGGATTTAGAAAAGGTAGGAACACGATGGACGCAGTGGTGAGACTAGAAAGTGAGGTGAGGAAGGCGCAGGCAAACAAGGAATCTGTAGTGGTAGTGTTTTTTGACATAGAGAAGGCATATGACATGATGTGGAAGGAAGAATTACTGATTAAGTTGCAGGGGATGGGGATTGGGGTTTTTGGGCTTTTTGAATGATAGGAAGATTCAAGTTAGAATAGGGTCAGAGGTATCTAGTAAGTATGAAGTAAGGAATGGCACTCCCCAGGGGAGCGTAGTTAGCCCACTATTGTTTCTTATCATGATAAATGATGTTTTTTCAGAGGTACCAGCAGATATAGGAAGCTCACTGTTCGCAGATGACGGAGCACTGTGGAAGAGAGGTAGGAACACCAAGCATATAGTCATTAAGGTGCAGATGGCGATTGATGGGATGACAGAGTGGGGATTAGATTTGGGGTGTAGGTTCTCAGTAGAGAAGACTCAGACTATAAATTTTACTGGGAAGAGGGTGGGAGTAGATGTGTCATTGAGTATGTATGGTAGACAGCTGGAGAGGGTTGAGGCATTTAAGTATTTGGGGGTGGTATTTGATAAGAGGTTAACCTGGGCAAATCATATCAAGCGGGTAGAGGGTAAGTGCAGGAAAGTGTTGAATATGATGAGGTGTCTTGCAGGCAGAGAATGGAGGGCGAGCTGTGATGCATTAAAAACAGTATATGTAGCTATGATAAGGTTAGTTATAGATTATGGGTGTATAGTACACTCACCGGCCACTTTATTAGGTACACCTGTCCAACTGCTCGTTAACACTTAATTTCTAATCAGCCAATCACATGGCGGCAACTTAGTGCATTTAGGCATGTAGACATGGTCAAGACAATCTCCTGCAGTTCAAACCGAGCATCAGTATGGGGAAGAAAGGTGATTTGAGTGACTTTGAACGTGGCATGGTTGTTGGTGCCAGAAGGGCTGGTCTGAGTATTTCAGAAACTGCTGATCTACTGGGATTTTCACGCACAACCATCTCTAGGGTTTACAGAGAATGGTCCGAAAAAGAAAAAATATCCAGTGAGCGGCAGTTCTGTGGGCGGAAATGCCTTGTTGATGCCAGAGGTCAGAGGAGAATGGCCAGACTGGTTCGAGCTGATAGAAAGGCAACAGTGACTCAAATAACCACCCGTTACAACCAAGGTAGGCAGAAGAGCATCTCTGAACGCACAATACGTCGAACTTTGAGGCAGATGGGCTACAGCAGCAGAAGACCACACCGGGTGCCACTCCTTTCAGCTAAGAACAGGAAACTGAGGCTACAATTTGCACAAGCTCATCGAAATTGGACAATAGAAGATTGGAAAAACGTTGCCTGGTCTGATGAGTCTCGATTTCTGCTGCGACATTCGGATGGTAGGGTCAGAATTTGGCGTCAACAACATGAAAGCATGGATCCATCCTGCCTTGTATCAACGGTTCAGGCTGGTGGTGGTGGTGTCATGGTGTGGGGAATATTTTCTTGGCACTCTTTGGGCCCCTTGGTACCAATTGAGCATCGTTGCAACGCCACAGCCTACCTGAGTATTGTTGCTGACCATGTCCATCCCTTTATGACCACAATGTACCCAACTTCTGATGGCTACTTTCAGCAGGATAATGCGCCATGTCATAAAGCTGGAATCATCTCAGACTGGTTTCTTGAACATGACAATGAGTTCACTGTACTCAAATGGCCTCCACAGTCACCAGATCTCAATCCAATAGAGCATCTTTGGGATGTGGTGGAATGGGAGATTCGCATCATGGATGTGCAGCTGACAAATCTGCGGCAACTGTGTGATGCCATCATGTCAATATGGACCAAGCTCTCTGAGGAATGCTTCCAGCACCTTGTTGAATCTATGCCAAGAAGAATTGAGGCAGTTCTGAAGGCAAAAGGGGGTCCAACCCGTTACTAGCATGGTGTACCTAATAAAGTGGCCGGTGAGTGTATATGGATCAGGAGCAAAGTCTCTTCTAGGAAAGTTAGATACGATCCAGGCAAGTGCATATGGATCTGTAGTGGGGCCTTCCGGACGTCACCAGTGCCTGCAGTACAGGTGGAGTTGGGTGAGATGCCGCTTTGCCTGAGGCGCAAACATCTCATTGCAAACTACTGGATTAGTTTGAAGGGCAGCAGTGGTACCCACCCCACAAAAGGAGTGATAGAGGAGTGTTGGGAGGATGGGAAGGGTAAGAGGGAGCATTTTGGTAGGATGGGGAATAGAATAGCAGCAGAGCTTGGGGTGGGTGGGAAGGAGGTAGGCCTAACAGTAGTGTATCCAGCAATGCCACCATGGAGAATGGTATGGCCAGCAGTGGATTGGAGTGTAATGGGAAAGAAATGGAAAGAGGGAGGACAGGTAGGCTTGGTTAGCGTAGTTAATCAACTCCTGAGGGAAGAATACAGCGGCTTTGTTCAGGTATACACAGATGGGGCAAAACAACCTGAGACGGGGGTGACAGGATTAGGGGTAGTGGTGCCATCGAGGGACATTGAGATCAATCGAAGGACATCAGACGGTCTAGTGGTAAACACAGTGGAGATGTTGGGGGTGTTGATTGCACCGAAATGGGTGGAAAAAGTTAGAGTAGAGAGGGTAGGTATATACACGGATTCAGCGTCAGTATTAGCTAGCATGAGATCGTTCCATTCAAGCAGCCGTCAGGGTTTATTATACGAAATATTACAGTCAGTGACAAGAATAGTACAGCAGGGGGGCCAGATCAGATTTTTATGGGTTCCAGCACATAAAGGGGTGGAAGGAAATGAGAAGTCAGACGTGATGGCTAAGGAGGCGTTAGGGAAGCAATCAGTGGAGCTGAATGTTAGATTAAGTAAAGCGGAAGTTAAGAGTATGATATGGGAAAAGCTTATTCAAATGTGGCAGAAGAAATGGGAGGGTGAGAAGAGAGGAAGGCACCTGTATAAGATTCAAGAGAGTGTTAAAGTTAGAAGGCTGGGTAGTGGACAGAGAAAGGAAGGGTCAGCATTGATAAGGTTGAGGTTAGGTCATTGTGCATTAAAAAAACACTGAAAATGATAGGGAAACACCAGACTGGGTTATGTGAGGGATGTCAGGTGGAGGAGTCAGTGGAGCATGTTCTAATGGGTTGTAGGAGATATGAGATAGAAAGGGGAGGGATGAGAAATAAGTTGAGGGAATTGGGTATGCAAGACCTTACACTAAAGGGAGTATTACAGATGGGGGACAGGTCACATGTGAGAGTGTTAGTTGAGTTTTTAAGGGTGACGGGGTTGATTGATAGGATTTAGTCTGTAGGAGTATGAATGTGTGAGTGTATGAGATGGGAATGGGTGGTGCACAGGGTTTTGTATAAGAATTGTCAGAAGAGGGCGGTAATGCACCGTTCACAAGAGTGCCAACTGCTGTTAAACTAAAAGAAGAAGAAGAAGAAGTCTCAGTGCCAGAGTATTGTCACTCCCAAGTGGTACAGACGCTTCTCCTGGCCTTCCTTGGATAATTACTTGCGACTTTTTACTCCCCGTGATCCCTTGTATGTCTTCTCACCTCCTTCTCCTCTGTTTTCTCCGCAGTGTCTCCAGCCCACACAACAGCCAGCCAGCAAACCAGACTTTTTCCTTGTGCTTTGTTTCCCCGAGTTGGACATTAAACACCTTTAATTTGCTATCTGCCTCTGTGTCTGCTTCTGGGTCCACAAAATACACTGCACGCCACAATTACAAGGCTTCATAAACTTTACTAAATGCATCAGCTCTACATGTCATCATCTGTTTCTAATAATTCTCCATGATTTATCTGTGACTAAAGCTTCTTTAACTCTTATAGCCCGATGGTCCCTTGCAAGGGCCGAGATTTTGCTGCATGTAATTCAGCACTATAAAAATGTATTAAATCTTGACCGCGGTGTTTACTTTCACTTCTCGATCGAAGTTTGGACTCTAATGTTCACAAAACTGGGTCGGATGTCTGTTTTAGTGCAAACGTTACCTTTTTATGTCGATTTTAATCTGCCTTGTAGCGAAATTTGGACCTTTAAATTTTGGGACAGCCACCGAATCAAAGCTTTACAGTGTAGCGGAGAATTGCTCCGTACGGCCATGCTTGTAGTCATTCGAAAGGGGAGAAGCTACTGAATCGATTGACATCAACCTTTCTAAGAACTACATTTCCCAGTTTTGGAAAAAGCCAGGCGTAAAGTGCTCGTAATCTGTGCGCTCTTAGGTGCAGCGCCCCACAGACAAAGGCAGACTGCTGCATCGCACGCTGATCACTCGGGACTCTCCTGTAAACTTTCTCCACCACTTATAAAACTTCTTTTGAGTACTTTTCAACAATGGAGAAGAAACATTCAACTCTTAGAGGGATGTGGCGGACATTTTATGAGAAATTCAGCAGGGCTCAGACGGTGAATTTGAGGACTCCTCTGACTTAGCAGAAACGACGTCGTCTCCGAGGAGGAGGCATTGTTTACATTAGAAGTGGACCTCGTTTACTAGTAAGTATTTGCATTTATTTATAAGGCTCAGTGTTGTGTAGACTCCTTTGTCATGAAACTGTAAACACAGTAGTAAGTATGGCAATCCAATAGCATTGAATATTACTGCAGTTCCACTATATTTGTTCGTTTTGGGCTTACTTTGCTTGCAGACGTTGCATTTTATCTGTCTTTGAATATATTATTTATGAAAACAAAAACATGAAGTAAATACAAATGCAAACAAAATATAGTACAGGTCATGGTTACTCAAATTATTGAATAAGTTTACATATATCCACAACCTTTGTGTCCTTCAGGGAAATGTTCAGATGTTATTATTTATTTTGTGTTCTACATAGTAATTTATCTTCATTTTCACAGCCACTAAGAAGAGGGGAGTGAGGCACATCCACCCCCCCATCAGGGGTTTTCACACCTACTGTACTCCCTGCACCAGTCGCCCAACCCCCACCCTGACCTGCAACAAAGGTTGCACTGAGTGGTTGTTTGTTTGCACTTTTCTTTGAATAAAAATACTCCATGTGGAGCCCAAAAAAGTAGAATTTCCTGTTATTTTTCATTATTCTTTATCGCATATGAACATATATATGGTGCACAATGATAGAAATCGATGAGTCACAAGATAAATTTCATATCCAAAAGCTCCAATAGTTAGTAGGAGACTAGTCTAATAAAAATTAATTATAATTTGAAGCCAGTTTTCATCAGAGGTAGAAAATAAACCATTTGGCACAATTTGGCACAAAGTGTGCCAAACTGAGTCCTCGCCAGGGTGTATCCTTACAAAAACCTTCATGTAGGCTTTACTGTTTGCCCAAATGCTATCAAACTTGGTACATTTGTGGTCAAGGAGTGGGTGAAGCTAGTCAATGGCATCTGGGGGCCTAGAATCATTGCCAGCATTGTGTTTTCCTCTGTCAAAAAAAGAAAACATTTTGGCGAGGGTAAAAAAACGAACTTTTCCTCTGATTTATTCCACTTTACTCAGGCATAATGACAGATACAACACTTCTGACACTTGAAACACATTCTCTGAAGTCTCTAGATGTCCAAGGACACCAAGAACATGCATATAACCTTTAGTAAAGTGTAGTAATTCCTCATTTACTTTGGGTATGTCTTTTAGGCGTTTTTTTCCCTAAAATAGGCTCAGGGCTTAAAAGACATTGCCTCATTAAACAATTACTTCCCATGCTTTTATCTTGATATTTTTTCTGTCTTGTGCTTAGGTTTAGTCCCACATAAAGCACACATCAAGTCACCCACTTTACAAAACAAGTTTATGACTGGCAACTAATTTATCACTGACTACAAGCAGTCAGATACATATTGTTTTGAACTCCTTTTTAATTCGGTTTCCCTGAAAAACAAAACATAAATCTTTTCACTATAGTGACTTACAATTTTTAAAGTATGCTGCCTATAATTACTTAAATAATATTAAATAAGGTTTTCAGTAGAGCAGCTCTGAGACAGAGTACTTCTTGTCAGCAGGTTATACAGAGGCTTAAGTGTCTTCAGGAGATAGTGAAGACACTATCTTATTATTCTTATTCTTATTTTTAATAGGTGATCCTCTTCTCTCTTTCCAAAGCAGATAGCAAAGTTGTCGAGAGGTGACCAGATGCAGCGCAAGATGGCGGACCCAAAGATAGAAAACCACATTTACAAAACGCAATAAGTTTCCGCATTACCTCCGATTGGCGGACCCAAAACAATTACTTCCGGTGGAAAGGCTTTCTCGTTGGCGGACTTCCGGCGCCGAAATACTTCAGGTAGTCGGATTTAGTCGCCGGATCCTTTTTTTTTTTGCTCCGTTCATTCCATAAGAATCGAATTAAATTTATTATTGAGCTAAAAATCAAAATAAAACGTTTATGTATTAACTATGACTACTGTTTTGTTCTGATTTAATTCTGAAGTTTACAGTAATATGTATATATAGCCTGATGTCCTCATATTCTGATAATTTGTCAGAATAGGTAAATGTATGTAGAAGTTATCATCTTACTCAAATTCTTTTGTAAGAGTTTGCTACAAGTATGGACTGTTTTAACCTCTCGTTACACATCATATAACAGTGTTTTCTAACTTTTCTCTCCAATAGCTTTATTACACAGCACATCAATGTTTCTTAACTTCTCTGTGACCTTGTTTCTCCACTCCTATTAGGACCTCGTTTAATGTCAACAATGTTGCCCTGACCCTCACATATTTTCTGTTGTTCATAATTATGTTTTATGAGAGTGCTTACGTTGCTGCACATATTTCCCCCCCCATCCTTTAGTAACATTGTGTAACCAGGGACATCATTTATGAAATGGTGTGCTTCCTGGTGAACCTCTTCAGGATTGCTTGACTGTGCAAAATCCAAGTATACAATAGTTGTAGAGACAAGTCACATGATCTCTTTAAGGTTCAGAAGAGCCATATAGCAAAAACAATTGAATAGCGATATCATTACAGACTGTGTAAAGAAATGGGAAATTGTCATACAACTGCTTTGAAGATTTCTTTAATTTTTTCCAAACAAAATTGTGAACAGTAAAAAAATATATATATATATACAAAATTCAGCACTGCCGTCGGTGTGGTGGGGGGCTTAAAACACGTTGCCACAGGCCATCATCAGCTCTGCTCTGAACCGGCTGATGCCATGCTCCTTCAGTGCTTTGATCAAAAGCTGAAAAACAGTCAAATAATGTGAACAATTGAAGTTATGCAGTATGGGTTAATTGTTGTTCTTGAGCTTTCCAAATGAATAAGAACAACCTCTTAACAATATCATCAATTTTCAAAGCAAGCTATATAGTTTGATCTACTCACCTCTGGGAGCATGACGTCAAAAACGAAATCAAGCAGATAAATCTCGCCTCTCTTTATTTTTTTAGAAATGTTTGTTGCCACCTCAATGAACCGCAGGAGCTCGAACATCTATTGAAGAAAAACACAGAAAGTAAACACCTTTCAAATGTAACACCCCTGAGAGTAAAAATACTCATGATGGATGGCATTTTTACTTACGCGCTGCTCACTCCAACTTAGTGTCCTTATCTTAAGATGCTGCTTTAGTCGGAGTGAGGTGGCGGGATTCCTCCAAAGGAACATTCTGTTGGAGCGGATCTTTCCAGACAGTAGATCATCGTGTAATGTCTGAAACCAAAGAGCAAGAGACAAAAATGTAATCATCTGAAAAAGAAATGGTGGCTTTAACAACTGATAGTGCATTCAAAAGCAACCTTGATCTGTGTCTTAGAAAAGACAGCATGAATTCCTCAACTGTCAACAGCATCCTTGATCCTGCAGAGAAATAAGAAAAGAGCAAGCCCTCATTTTTTCATCCTTTGAGCCTCGTATTTTTGACAGATACTATGTTTCCTTGATAAATTATGTTATACCGAGGATGCTCAATGGAGTCCTCGCACCCGCAGTCAAACGGCTCCATTTCAATCCCAGCACAATCCTGATGCAGCCAGCCCCTGCACGTCTTGCACTGGACCCATTTTATGACGTTTACCTCAGGGTAAAGCAATCTGATCAAATGAGAGACAAACATAATATTAAACAAACACGCTGTCCAATTGATTATACCTCTACAGCACATTTGAATGTATAAATAATTCTCCTGCATGATTCGTGCATTTAAACTATACACTCACCGGCCACTTTATTAGGTACACCATGCTAGTAACGGGTTGGACCCCCTTTTGCCTTCAGAACTGCCTCAATTCTTCGTGGCATAGATTCAACAAGGTGCTGGAAGCATTCCTCAGAGAGCTTGGTCCATATTGACATGATGGCATCACACAGTTGCCGCAGATTTGTCGGCTGCACATCCATGATGCGAATCTCCCGTTCCACCACATCCCAAAGATGCTCTATTGGATTGAGATCTGGTGACTGTGGAGGCCATTTGAGTACAGTGAACTCATTGTCATGTTCAAGAAACCAGTCTGAGATGATTCCAGCTTTATGACATGGCGCATTATCCTGCTGAAAGTAGCCATCAGAAGTTGGGTACATTGTGGTCATAAAGGGATGGACATGGTCAGCAACAATACTCAGGTAGGCTGTGGCGTTGCAACGATGCTCAATTGGTACCAAGGGGCCCAAAGAGTGCCAAGAAAATATTCCCCACACCATGACACCACCACCACCAGCCTGAACCGTTGATACAAGGCAGGATGGATCCATGCTTTCATGTTGTTGACGCCAAATTCTGACCCTACCATCCGAATGTCGCAGCAGAAATCGAGACTCATCAGACCAGGCAACGTTTTTCCAATCTTCTATTGTCCAATTTCGATGAGCTTGTGCAAATTGTAGCCTCAGTTTCCTGTTATTAGCTGAAAGGAGTGGCACCCGGTGTGGTCTTCTGCTGCTGTAGCCCATCTGCCTCAAAGTTCGACGTACTGTGCGTTCAGAGATGCTCTTCTGCCTACCTTGGTTGTAACGGGTGGTTATTTGAGTCACTGTTGCCTTTCTATCAGCTCGAACCAGTCTGGCCATTCTCCTCTGACCTCTGGCATCAACAAGGCATTTCCGCCCACAGAACTGCCGCTCACTGGATATTTTTTCTTTTTCGGACCATTCTCTGTAAACCCTAGAGATGGTTGTGCGTGAAAATCCCAGTAGATCAGCAGTTTCTGAAATACTCAGACCAGCCCTTCTGGCACCAACAACCATGCCACGTTCAAAGTCACTCAAATCACCTTTCTTCCCCATACTGATGCTCGGTTTGAACTGCAGGAGATTGTCTTGACCATGTCTACATGCCTAAATGCACTAAGTTGCCGCCATGTGATTGGCTGATTAGAAATTAAGTGTTAACGAGCAGTTGGACAGGTGTACCTAATAAAGTGGCCGGTGAGTGTATGTAAAAGTGGTCACTTCATGGAAAATCACTGAATAGGCCCTGATAATTGCATTTATTAAATTGAGTCTGCAACACACCCCTCTCCTGTGTTGTTCGATGTCTGGTAGACACAGAATTGCATTGAATCTGCCATGCACATTCTTTGGACATCCGATACCGTCTACGTCATGGTTTCCTTGACAAGGCAATTTGAAAAGTAACATCAATTACCAAATACATCGAGACAATGTTGATCCATACAACTGTGTGCATTTTGAAGGACTCCCACTGAGATAATACTGTTTTTACAAGGCAATTTTCTAACCTCTATGTCCTGCTGCTCTGCCTTCCTCTTTAGACTGAAGACCGGAGTATGCTTTCCAGCAATGAGCTCTTGACATTCTTTGATCCAGTGGGCGAAGATTTTCCCACAACTGTAATGACAATATGTCTTTAAGTACAATATATTGATTGTCTTCCAGTTAATTAGGACATCTAGTTTACTTAAACTGTCTACCTGTTCAAAGAATTGTTCTCCAGGAGCAACAGGCACCACCATCGCCGCCAAACAGGCATGTCATGCTGAAATTGTTGTTTGTATTTCATTTTAGTGCACAATACAAAATACAATCTTGAGGATGACACTGCGTGTTGAAAAGTACTTACAACTGAGTAGTCAAACTGTGACTCCATAACGATGTACATGGCAGACTTAAAAAAAAAATTATGAGACAACATGTGAGATAACTTTAAAAAAGTCCATGTTGGAAAGTTATTCTAGATACAATATTTGTGCATTACAGCTCGTTATGACCTACCATCAACATGAATATGCCACAGTCTGAGCCGAAGTCCTGGCTGGGGAAGCCCTGATTTAACAAAAGCAAACGTTAATCATCTTGTCACATACACTTTGTAGGAGCCAGATTGGGGTTTTGCAGTTTATTGTTATGTATTTTTTGTGCCAGCAGATGGTGCTATTGTGCCTGTCTATTTAATGGGTGGGTTGATTAGGAGAGGTGCGCACATAAAATGATGAATGAGTAAATAAATCAAAACAACAGAAAATGTGTGTGACATGTGACATTATTCCACCTGCGGGCACGCATCAACTCAAGCAAAAAGGTGTTCGCCACAAGTAACAGCATTGGAAAGCTGTTATACACTTTTCAACTGTAATATAGAGCATGCACAAATACCTCCAAATCTCTGCCCGTTTTCTCAGTCCATTGCCCAGGACATATCTTCTGCGCAATGTTCCTGTTAATTTGAGAGCGTCACTTAGATTTCCCATGATGGAAACAATGGAATGCAGGGTTAGGCTTAGTTTGAGTGGTCGGATGTGAGATTGAATGAATGCGGACGGCTTGCTTCTTTTCAAACTTCCTGAGAGTTCTTCTTCTTCTGTAAATTTTGCCGTCAGAAAGTGTAGGTACATACCGCCACCTACTGTTCTGGCATCGCAAAGCAGAAGTTCAAAGTTCATGTTTTGGGTCCGCCAATCGGAGGTAATGCGGAAACTTATTGCGTTTTGTAAATGTGGTTTTCTATCTTTGGGTCCGCCATCTTGGCGCTGCATCTGGGTACTCTTGAAGTTGTCAGCGATTGTTCGATTGTTGCCTGGGATGTACTGGCTGTTTTTGTGGCTCACAGGATGGAAACGTTCAAAATGTTTCATCATATTAGTTGTACTCCCAAAATACTTTATTTCTGTGTGACAGACTTTACACACAGCATGTCTTCTCAAGCTTCCCATCAAGTTCAGAAAAGCTGAAGTTAGCCCAGACATCCAATTTAAAGGTAATGGGTGCATCTTTAATTACTCGTGTGGTCTGGCCATATCCCCGTCCGTCATTTCTGTTGTAGTATTGACGCTAGTGCAACACAGTGCACATGTCATTGCAACTCTGCCCCCGGAAGTAGTTGAAACCTCACAACTTTAATGTCCAAGCACTGCCAGAAAAATTATATAATAGTCCACTCTGGTGTGAATTTGAATCAGCATCATGCACTTTGTCTTCATTACCAGCCCTAATTACCTCCTCTATTCCAAATAATCCTTCTAAGTTCACGCAGAATCCGGTTGTTCAATCCACCCTCAGAATCTGGTACCAATACAGGAACCATTACAAGTTTAATTCTCCATCCACTTTTTGTCCACTACTGAAAAATCATCTGTTTAAACCATCACTTACAGATTCAGGTTTCTCAATGTGGCGGGATAGGGGTTTAAAATCCTTGAAAAATCTGTATAGTATGACACATTTTGCACCTTTGCTGATCTGTCGACTAAGTTTCAGCTCCCCAACTCCCATCTCTTCAGGTATTTTCAGGTCAGACATTGTTCCCAATCACTCTTCCCAAGTTTCCCTCAGCAACCCCCAATGCAAATGTGGGAGGAACTCATCCAATTTGATCCATTTCGTAAATCACAAATATCCAGGATATACAATGACCTTCTGTCTGTTGATGGTAACCCCAATAATAAGATTAGAGAGGCCTGGGAGTGTGAACTTGGATTGACTTTTGATGATGATCGGTGGGACGCTGCCCTACGTACATTTCACACGAGTTCAACTTTTGCAAGATTTACTCTTATACAGTTTAAGGTGCTGTTCAGAATCCATTATTCTAAAGCAAAACTATCGCAGATATACCCTACAGTTGCAGATACTTGTGACAAATGTCATCTATCACCTTGTAATTTAGCACATATGTTCTACTCATGTCCATTCCTGGATGACCTCTGGGAGAATTATTTTGACACAATGTCCAGAGTACTTGCAATCCTTGTGGTTTCATCCCCTCACACTGCCATCTTTGGTGTCCCGGAAGACTGTGCACAGTTTAATTCTAAACAATTTGGAGTATTAGCCTTTACCCGATAGTAAGACGCCATCTTCTTCTTCATTGGAAGTCTACCAAGCGACCTTCTAGTACCCAATGGCAGAGAGATGTTATGTCTTATTTAAAATTGGAAAAAATCAGATATTCAACTAAAGGCGATCTAATCACATTTCAAAGAAAGTGGAATCCCTTCCTGGCCTCTTTTGACACCACCTAATCTTCAAATATTGAATGACTAACCCCCCTTGCTCTCTTCCCCTCTTTTCTCTTTCTTACTTTCCCTTTCCCCCCTTTCTTTTTCTATCCTTCTATTCTGTCCCTTATCTGATAATTGCATTCTATCCTGTTTAAACATAAGATTATCTCGTGTTTGTCGGATTATATTTCTAGTTTGTTTGTTAAAAAAAAAGAACAACGAAGGGAGGTTGGCGGACGACATCTCTGCAATTATCCCTATGACATTTGTTGTTTATTGAGAGACTGTATACTCCGATGCTATTTAAATGTTGTGGAATGATTTTTGGCCTGACCTCTAATAAAAAGATTAATCAAAAAAAAAAAGAAAAATTATATAATAAAGGGGGGAAAAAAGCGAGTATGTCACATTGCCATTGATGCAGAATCGTGCACGGCCAAGTCGTGATGCATCTTAGGCCCGAACTACACGAATGCGGATATATTTCAAACCGCACATATTTATGTCCGATTAGGCCTCCCTACCACACCAAAATGGGAGTTTGGAGCACTCAAACCGGATAAACCTGAATCCGGAAAAACAAGTGGAGAAATAAAAAAATATCCGTATCCCGTATCCGTAGTGGATTCGTGTGGTTGGACTTTTACGGATCGATGACGTCAAACCGCAGCTCGCGCATGCGAATTAAAAAGAAAAACAACAACAACAACGATGGCGGACAGACAGGGTATTCTTTACGTTTGTTTTGCCCTTTTGGGGCTAATTTCAGCCTTGCAAGTGAACCTTGTTTTATACAATTACATCCACCAGTCAGCCAGCTCACAGACGCGTCTGCTGCGGCCAATACTTTTATTGGTCACATGGTCCGTCACATGGACCCGACGCACTAGCGTAGCTTCCGCAAACAATGCATGACGCATCACGCTGTTACGATTCATCGGCTAATCAGGTAGCTTTGTTCCTGAATTTTTTTTAAGCTGCACCAGATAGGATTGAGTTTGAAGGCTACGTGTGGACGCAGATATTTTTGAGAACTAACACGTGTAGACGGGAGTACAAAAATATCCTGATAAATAAATATCCATATACGTGTAGTTCGGGCCTTAGAATCGATCATTTTTCCACCTCTACTGGCAGCTGGTCTTTGGGGGATTTTGAAAATCTTTTTGTTCTTCTAGGTGCATCCAGGATTCCTGTGTGATGTTTCTGTCTGTTTTCCTTAAACTGAATATCCTTTGGGGATCAGTTACGTTTTTCTCAAATAAACTGCATGTAAATTAAGTTTACAGACTGAAATGCATCATCCACTCCATAAAGTCAGTATAAACAGTTGCTCCTCTGAATGGTGCGTTTATTGTTGGAGGAAGTTATAACTTTTGGAGTCTGAACGAAACAAAGCTGAATTTAAAAACTGAACCTCTCAACTGAAGCTTTAATTGCACTTTTTCTGAACTTTAGTGAACCTCACAACCACGCATCTTCCTCCTCCTCCTCCTCTCTCCGCATTCCTGCTGTGCACTGAACATATACAGCTCATGCTGAGAGCTCATCTTACTGCAGCAGGGTAGAGTTTATTACAGTTTTTCTCAGTTGCTTTGGTACATTTCTCGAATCATCCTCGACATTTGCAAAACAGTTAGTTCTTTTCTCAAAACAATTTGTACAAATAGCAAAACACCATGGATTACCTGCAAAAGCCAGTCTCTTGCTCAAAATCCTTAGTACATCTCTCAAAAGTAAATATCTGTGTCAATGAACATGTCAGTGCCATCAGAATGACAAGTCCTTGTGTCATTGTGTACGGATAAGACAGTCAAATTGCTTAGTCATGTTGTCAATATAACAGTGTACTCTGGAGGGATGTTCTGATGTAAACTATGGCTAAAGTTTTGATGACAATCATTGTAAATTGTAAGTTACACCTCAGTGTATGTGGGAGATTGATTGCATTGATTGCAAGAGACTGTAATTTGATGACAGACCATGTCATTGCGATACAGAAAAGAAAAAGACAGCACTGCAGAGCACAATAAAAAAAACAAAAAAACAAAAGTAAAAATGTGAACATAGGACAATTTCCTTAGGGAAAACTGGAAATGCAGTGCTGTAGGAATTACAGTACAGTCTTCCTACACCTCCTGATGTTCCTGTCTGTTGGGCAACAAATTCTTATCCACAAAATGTCACTCATCCAAAATGTCACTGTATATACTATACTTACTGTATATTGTAAAATGAAAGTCGAATACTGCAATATTGTATGAAGCATTACAGAAAGTATACAGTATTACAGTACAGTGCCTATTGTTAGATTACAAACCTGTTCTGTCAACGAAAAGTCTGAATGATTGAGGACACAGTTGTTCTCCCAACATTTGGCTGCACCCTTCGGCCAGCCTCAGCCATTGTAAGCCCATGATTGAGAACGTGGTCTACAAGTGTAGCTCTTATCTCATCAGGAACGTGCATTTGTCCTCTGCCTCTTCTGCCTCTTCCTCTGTTTTGCCTCCCAACTCCTCCGCCACGCAGCCTCACTCCTCTTCCTCTTCTTCTCTCTGGCTGTTGACCCCGTCCATTTCCTTGTCCTTCCATTGTCAGACATTGTAACATTGTGTTGTGCCCTGGCAATATATACTTGCCAGTTGATGGTTCATGAGATGCACCTTTGAGCTGTTTCAGAAAAGTGGTTGATCATTGGTTGATCTAATGCTTCACACATTTCCCACCGTTAGAGAAAGTCAAGATTCACCTGGGAGCAATTTACCAATTCAGGACAGATTCAGAAACGTCTAATGGAAATGTATAGAAATATGCTTGACATATTATGACAGCGTGTTCAACCATTTTGCATGTAAAGACTTGTGCGATGAACTAATGCCTAAATGTTGTGGGGGGTGAGACTATTCAACAGAGACCCATTATAGTACATTTTGATCAACATGACATAAGCAATTGATAATGTAGAAAACAGCAGAA